TTCAAATGCAACTGTAGCTTTTTTTCCCCAAAACTTTGTCTTCAAAATAAGGGTGCGTCTTATATTCCAAAAAATACGGTATATTCAAAACATATCCAAATCTGTCCCATATCACCTTTTAACTCATAATCTCAGTTCACTAATGATAAATCTAGTCTCATGGCCTCAAAATTGGCTTTCTGAATATTAAGAACTATAATTTATCTTTAACTCATCATGTAGCAAAACATCAAACCTAATTATGTAATTATCACTTTTCCCCGAACATTCTCCTACTTCAACTCTTTGAACCACATCCTCAGTGGTAGTTAACAATAAATCTTAAATTGCATCCCCTCAAAACCACTTCAAAAAAACCTCTCTCTCTATCCCTCACTACTTGACTTCAAATCACAATCAATGTGTCTAAAACTGAATTAAATCTCCTATAATTATTGCATCAGTATCCTTATTGGTAACAACCCGGATCTCATTATATTATTTCTCATTGACATCACCTGTCTGATCAGATGGCATATAACAATTGTCAATTAAAACCTTTAAATTCTTGAAACCCCTGATTGTAACTCAAACAGATTCATCCTCTTGACTACCACTTTTTTAATGTCTTCATTCACAATGGAATACAGGTCATCCCTTTTATAAAGCCACACCACCCCTCTTTTTAAAAAGGTTTACAAAGATACACAGAAATTTTCAAGTAAGAATTCAAGTCCCCATTGACTAAGAAAATTATTCATGTAACTAGAACATGTCTTTGGTTTAATGCAGTTTTTAATATTAAACATTTCAACAATAAACTAATTAAATAAAAATTAAAAGAATCATTTCACAAAATGCAGGTATTATGTTATAATTATCATGATTTTTCTAGTCATTACCAATTTTAACCAGTTTGTTAGATGATTATTAGTATTTAAGCTGTTGCTTCCCAAGCCTAAGAAAAAAAAATGACTTCCATGATTAATTTTTTGCAATATTTCCATAAAACACAACTTCTATTTTGCAATAGAAAGAAACAGAAATTCATCAAGACTTCTACATAAGAAGTTTCATACAATTCACTAAACAATAAAGTAGCCATTAAATCCTAACTTAATACAATTACTAATTTAAACTTATTTTATGATGAACAAGACTGTATGTTATAATTTTCTACTGGTTATGTTTATTTTCAATATTAAGACACCAAAATGTTTAAATGTCAAGATGCTCTAACAACTTCAAAACAAAAGCATATTTTAGTTTATACTGTATAAGAAAATAAATGCTGAATCTATTGATGATTGCATAAATTCACTGTAATCATGCTATGCTGCCATGAAATTAATATATTTTCTCACAAAAATTAACCATTCCCCAAATATTCTTTTTATTTTTTTCAGTAATCAAACTGAAGTGTTTGCATCAGGTTCAATTACAAAATCTTTGAAAACTTCAATCTTTCATCTACTTTTGGAAGTTTTCTTACAATGTGTTGAGTAAATGTACAACACAATATTTGCAAATACCACAAAGGTGGATAATATAATGTTACAATATCTTTTAATTATCACATAGTCTGTTAGCTTATTATGTCTAAATACATTTCAATATGTTACATTCAAGGATATGTTAAGGACACAACTACCACTTTCAAAATGTCTCATGGAATTCTTGAGTATTCTGCAGTGATTTCTTGAGAAAATATGTTCAGAACAAGCATAAAGTTTCTTAATGAAAGTTTTTATTTAGACAATCTGTGAAATATTTGCCTATTCTTTGCTATTTTCATTTATTGTATTCAATATTATATTTTCAAAACCAGTAAAATAATTATGTAAACAGTGAATGAAATTTCTATAAAATACAAATATTCCTACACCCTCTATTGTAAGTAAATTAACTCAGAGTACAGTTGTGTGTTGATAGTTTAACTAAAATTGGCTGTTCTCCAAGCAATCTTACAATGCCACACAGTATAATGCCTATAAAAGTATAGACAAACTTACTATTCCCTGCAGTAGTGTAGTGAATGTACTCATGTCCCTCACAAAAAAAAACATTACATAAGAAACATATAGAATTCCGTGTTTTGGCTGGTGAAGGCTACTTCCTCTAACAAATTAAAGCTAAATTTAACATTTCAGTAAGAGAAGTATGGAAAGTATAAAAAGGGATGTATATTAGGCAGGCTATAGCACTGCCTATGTTGGGTTGGCTCAGATTGTTCATCGAAATGGTATTTTAAATATCTCCTCAACAGGTCATCAGTACTTTACAATACTATACAATGTTTCCTTTTATAGCAATATCTATGTAATGACTGAGTCACAAGTTCTAATAATGTCAGTAAATATCATAGCAAAAACTTTGAATTTCTTGTTTGTCTTTCTTCTGCTTTTTTTTTTTTATTACATAACTCAAAACACGGGTCAACCAACTTCACTGAGGTGACGTAGTTTCAATCGGAGTAT